TGTGTGTGTGTGTGTGTGTGTGTGTGTGTGTGTGTGTGTGTGTGTGTTGAACAAGAACAGAATGATAAAAATCGATGGCTGTACTAAAAACCGAGCGCAGCAGCTCACCACATCACGTCATCGTCGTCATGTTTACATGTGACCATATTTCTGGCTGCGGTCAGGTGAGAGTAAATTGCGCGTGGCAAAATATACTCGCATAAATGATTCGGTTCGTCATTTGCGTGCGGAGAAAGAAATTAACGCCAAATGTGACCAAAGTTTGATGCTGATACGCAACAGAAAACTATGAACTTTCCGTTTTGAAACACAACCATTGCACCGCACCGCACCACACCGGCACCGCTGTCGTATATACGCTTCATCGATCAAATCATATCAAAAACATTTGATGCATTCATGTTTCGCAATTTTTCCATGAATTCGATCAAATCATTTCCACAACATTGGGGATAGGAGATTGCCAACGATGGAATGAGCACCGATTGAAATCGATTTCATGAACCGTTCAGGCGAATGAATTCTAATTGCAACGGTTCAACCGAAAAAGAAGGCGTCATTGACTCGAAAAAAATCGTCTATTGATTTCGGTGACCATTAAAATGTGATGTTAAATCAATCAGTGACTGTGAATATGCTGGATATTCATGGCAATCGTGCATTTTCAGCTAGCCAAATTTAGCTATGTTTCATTACAAGACTGATGATAAAAGTTGCCGAGTATTTTTCGCATGAATATCCCGCATAAGCATAGCTATGTATAAGTGATTAGCTTAGCTATGTATAGACGTTGATTAGCTTAATATCATTTTTATGGTCACTTTTGCCGAATTTCAAAACTAAGACGAACACGAAATTGGGGACCAAGAACACAACAAGCGATTTCTCTTCATCAAAGCAAAAATGCCAATCAATTTCGACGAAAAAAGCTTGAAAAAAATTTCATTCTCAGTATTCCATCGTATAGCTGCACAGTTAATAATATATTATTAATTATTATTAATACGATATTATTAACTAGGCGGTATTAACAACTGATACGTTATTAACATCGCCTGTTAATATCGCTATTACTTACTAGTTAATACCGGTATTATCATACTAATATATTATTAACATGCGATGTTAATACCGATAGTATAATTAATAATATATTATTAACTGTGCAGCTATATTCCATCGTCTAATGATCGAACACATCTGAATACAAACCATTGAACCGTTGCGAAAATAGATTTTTCAATGAAACACCCGACAAAGAAAAAACATGAAAATTGTTCCGACAAAAATAATAAACGATTAATTCGTTCATCGATATCACCAGGCAAATTAACCGTTTTCTTTCTATTCATTCTTCTTGTGCATGTCATTAAAAGAGCACCTTTTCTCCAAATATTGCCCCGCATGCTATTCGAATCGGTAGAAAAGCAAATTACAAAGTATACACCACTTCAATTATCTGTAATAAGATTATCGCGGAGCATCGATGTATTCCGCGGAGCCGAGTCGAGAGAGCGAGAGTTTGAGGGAGAGTGAGAGAATGCAGCGCGGCCGGAGTGTACGTGAGATTGCTTTAATATTGTTCTCATTATATGCACCCGTTCGTATACATATAACATGAGCGACTGACGACACGTACACGGAGTAAATTTTGAAAGCTTTCAGCTCTCGCTCGGTTGCAGCCATCCATCGTTGTGGCATTTGCATCGACGTCATCATCGCATAGATTGTGTAATGGGGTGCGGACAGCCGAAATTGAAACAGCGCGCACACATGCCATTACATGGCCCGAAAATAATCACATAGCGATTGATTACGCATTTTCGTTTGGTGAATAAATCAATTTGAAATTCATGTTTTGAATGTAAATATTCAGTGTTTGTCGACCAACATTCTATGAATTCGGCTGTGTCGACTGATTTCGGGCTCGTTTATTGCAAAGAATAATTGTTTTGCTGCCCCCGTGGTGTGAATAGTCCATTTCGTATCAGGCACACACACACACACACACAAACACCCAAACATTTTCACACCGAAAACTTTTTAAGCGAATTTATATAGTTCGGAAGAAGAAAAAAAAACTCATCGAAACGATGCAATGAATTTCGCCAACTGGTGAATATCGACTGGATCAAAACGAAAGAAACGACGACGATGACGAAGAATAAGAAAAAGAGAGTGAAACGGAAAAGAAGCAAATATAATGGTTATAGGGAAAATGTCAAGTGCGGAAAGCATTAATGAATCAGAAGACTTTGTAATTCGAATTTTCTGCACCTTCATAAATCGTCGCTAGGTTTCAGTTGTGTACATCAGTATGACGACTGTTTGTGGCTTTGAGTTTAAAACGTGTGCAAGCAAGCGACATAGAGCGGAATAGAGGGAGAGGGAGAGGGAGTGAGAGAGCGAGGGGAAAAGAAAAAGATCCACTGTGTGTCGTCTGTCGAAAATGTTCACTGGTTGTGTGCGTGCCGAACTACCGACTCATTCGCCTTTATGTTTTATGTTTTTTTTCCTTCTTCTTCGTCGTTCAGCCAGTGTTCAGAGCTTTGCAAAACGGGTCTCAGTAATAAGCAACGAAAAATTCAATTCAGCAAACCACCCACGCACACACACCGAAACCAACGGAAAAAGCGCTTCAATCTGAATACACAGGGAGGGAGAGCGCGCACACAAATCCTGGCGGATGACTGTTGCGTATCTTAGCTTCACCGTTTTTCTCTCTCTCTCTTCCTATCTCTGGTCACATTCTAGTTCTCGACTCGCTGATGCTGCTATTGCTGTTGTTGGTATTGTTGCTGTGCCTGTTCTCTTGCTATCCAGTTATTCGACTTGAAGTTTAACCACAGATGAATGAAATCACATCGCACGTAATGAACGATAAAACGAAATGTGCACTGATACGAACAAACAAAAAAAACGAATTCCACATAAGAAAATCTGGACCAATAAAAGAAGCGTATTGCAGTAATCATCATGAAAAAAAAGAAAAAGAAGAAAATAAAAAAAAACAACATGCGAAAGCGACTTGAAAATCATTGGGTCGGGTACATAGATATAGGCATGATTGACCCTATTTCTGTTCTGTGTATCGTGCGGCGTATATTAGGCACATATTGAGAATTGCAAATGCCCACACACATTTTGGCAAGAAAACGACTGGTAAAAAGAATGAAAAAACACACAATACTGACCAACCCAAAAAGTGTTGGTACTCATTCGGAAAACGGTTCTCTTTGTCGCTCCCGTCGGAATCGATGTTCACAAAAGGTTTTGAGAAGCGAGATGAAAAGAGGAGGAAAAAAAACAAATATGATTTCAATCGGAATTTTTTTTTTATTCGTTGTGCGTCCAATCGACCGAATGCTCGGAGCGGATTCGATTTACCATTTGGCATTGTTTCATTATGAATTCGTTCGGAATGAAATTAGGTGTTAGAAAATGCGAAGCAGCAGACCCATTTCTTGTTAAGTCAATCATTAGATTGAGTCAATACTCAAGGACATCTATCGTTGAGTCGTACGTTATCATGAATAAAAGAAGAAGAAGTAAAATTGCAGAAAAGATCACATAAGTGCAAATCGAAGACTTTTGCCGAAAGGTCGACACATTATTGTCGTTAGGTTAAGTCGAACGGATCAAATAACAGTATCCATTTCTATTGACTCATTCACAACGAACATATGAATCAAACACACATTTAGCATCATCATTCTTTCATTGGAATTAAAATTCAGTACATTTTCGACTCGATTATTATTAAAGTTAGATCTCGATTGAAGCCCAGCATAATTATTCTCGAAAACTTATCGCCTTTGCCCATGGATGACATTCATTTTTATGTGGTACGTGTGTGGATTAAATATAGACACACACCGTTTTGTAATAATGGATGAAAAGGTGTCTGCAAAATTCTTATCCCAGGACCTATTTTATGAATAAAAGTCTGTCTCTGTCTGTTTCTGCAGCTGCTTTCACAGATGATGGAAAGTCAGTGAGTGTGAAAAACAACATCATCACAATCCCCTCAATTAATTGTGAGAACCAAGGGGAAAAAAAGTACACTGATCGTTATCTATGAAGAGACCGGTTTACTGGTTTTTCTTTACGCCCCCAAATCATCATCGCCAGATGTATTCATTTGGCGCACGAAATTTTCATCCATGAACTTTGATTCAAAAGGAAACTGCTGTTGATAATTAGAGCTTTTACTGCATTGAATTCATTTTTTTTTGGGCGAAATGGTCGTTTTCATTTGCTTTGGGTTGGATTGGATTCTATCTCATTTAATAACATCATTTTTTTTTCATTTTCTCTTTCTCTCTCTTTTTTTTTTTGCTCCTGTGAATCCATTCGACATTGATTGAATTGATGGCGGCTCGAAAATGATTATACTGTATACTGCGACGACGACAACAACGACGACGATGATTACGTTGGCGGCATTCATCTTTTCATTCGTGCAGAAAAAGATTAGAGTAGACTCAGCATTGTATGGCAACGTGATTTTAATAGTAATTTTAGCTAGTAATATCTGGTCATCACACGGACAAAATGTTAATCCGCCACACGACGATGCAGCAGATTATGTTGGACCCGGTGGCGGTGGTAGCGGCGGCGGCGGCAATGGTGCTGCTGATGGAGACAGAGTTGCGAGTAGCGGTGAAGTGATGGCGTCACGTTTGCCCGTGCTCAATGAGCATGAGCCCAGCTGCGAGGAGCTCAAAGCCATGTGGAGGTATGAAATAATCAGTTATTCATCAACCATCGTCATTCGTTATTTGTTATTTGGTATTTCCAACCTCCCTGTGTTTGTGTGTGTATGTATCTTCTACCCGTTCCCCATTCGTTTTTCTCCTTCTCTCTCTTCCTCTGTATTTTCATTTGGTTTGGTTTGGTTTCATGTTACAGTGTTTACTTTGTTATTCGCACACCATTGACAAAATCCCATTTAAATCGAATGCGGAAAATTGATGCGGTTTTATTGGGAATATAATTTCCTATTTTGTGCGTGTGTGTTAATTTCTATCTTTCTCTCTCTATCTCTCTCTCTCTCTCTCCCTCAATACCGAAAATTGGCAGGTTTTCAAGGCGTCAATCACGAACATCGGAAATGTCGAATGAATTGCCCACATATCGTGACCCATTCAAGCATAACATTTGGGATCCGTATTATCCAACAATGCGAAGTGTGAACAGGTGATAATGACTTAAGCTTTTTGCGGCTCGTGTTTATTGTGGCTTTGTTTTTGGTTTGCCTTTTCTTGTTTTGTTCGTTTTCCCTCGATTTTCAACCAAAATACATACAAGCGCCGCAACACATTCAACAAATAATTTTTTTTTTGGTTGATTGACAATTTTGCTAAATTCCATCTTTGTCTTTCTCCCATTCTCTCTCTCTCTCTCTCTCTCTTCTTTTTTTGGTGGAACGCGCTCACAGAGGACGTGCCACACCTCGTTATTTTGGCAGTCGATCGCCAATGCAACCGACATACGGCACGATTAATTATAAAGCGCCGGAAAAGACGCGTTTGCCCGTTGGCCGAACGAGGTCATTCAATTACAATGATCTATCGCGCATCTACAGCAAAACCGAAATTCAAAAAGCCGGCCGAGAGCCATACAATTGGGCCGCCGCTGCAATTGCCAATCGCAATAATAACAACAACAATGATTCATTGTCACGGCGTCGAACCCAGTTTCGAAACGGTGGCCGTGTGCAAACACACAATGTGCCGTTGAATTCAATATTAACGCCACAGAAGGGCAGCTTTCAGCGGCTCAAGGAGCTCATTTGGAATGAACGTGCCCGTGAATTGGCACAGCAACGTCGCAACGAGGAAATGATCGCACGAGCAGCTGTACTCAAAGAATTAACCAACGGCCAAAGGTAACAACAACATTATTTTTTCTCTCTCCCTCTCCCTTTTTTTTCTTTCTTTCTTTTCTCGTCTTTTTTCCCGCCCTTTTCTTTACATTTCTATTCATTTAATACCCAACTATCAACGACGACTTTACACACCACTTGAACCATCTTGATATAAGTATTCTGTTTCTTTTTTCATCTGTCGTCCTGTTGTTGACGCAATGCAGGTTCAAACGGAGCATTTTCTACTATTAATTTCGTGCGGAGTAAACTGAGCGAACAAGAAAGAGAGAGAGAGAGAGGGCGAAACCACATATACATATACACACATAGAATGTGTGGCTGGCTTATCTGGGCTCAAGCTGAGCTTAATTTTGCTGTAATAAATGTTGTACACCAGAATCGCGCGGCGGCTAAATTTCCAACTTTTTTTTTCAAAACAGCTTTTAGTCTATACCGAAAGTGTTTTATTTCTGTTCTTGTCATTTTATTTGTTCACATGTTTTTTGATGAAATATACAAAACAAAAAAGACAATAATTTTCTTCTCGACACAGCAAATGTGTTGTGAGAATAAAAAAAAAAGAGAGAAAGAATGAAACGCCACCAATGACAATAAATACGGAGCAAGCAAGTTTTGTTTTTTTTTTTTCGTTCGCGCTACAAAACAAAATGAAAACAATAAATAGAGAAAATCAAATTTTAGGACTTCTCAAGGGGAAAAAAGAAGAAGAAAAAACAAACACTAATTTTTATCGATTTAAGAACGAAAATGTACTTATGGAATTCTTCTTTATACTACATTTATTTGATTTTATATTTTTTTTTTTGCTTGACAAAAACTCTTAATGATACATTTTAATGATATTCACTCTATGTATTATACTCCACACGTGACAGATGCTGCAATTTTATGTTGTGACGTTAATTCCCGTTCGCATGCACAGATTTACTCAGCTGGTTCCACCACCGCCACCACCTCCACATCATTCACCCAAGCTGATGTATGTGTGCGTGCGTGCGTGCGTGCATTGAGTGAGTGGGTAAATTTGTGTGTCGGATTCGAAGATGTAACATCTGTCATCGTATGTTCATATATGCTCTTATGTTCCATAAAAATATATTATACACACATCGCAAAACGCGCCAAATATTAGGAAGAATATGACGAAGAACGACGACGATAATAACTTAAAAATAAAATGAAATAAGAAAAAAAAACAAATATGGTCAATTACAAAAGTAACAACATAAACAAAATCTTATGACGTTTTCACCCACCCCACGTATTTAAAATATCCACATAAACTCTGGAAGTAGCCGCTCTTTTCCATACAACTTTATCAATATGTACGGATGGACTGTCTTCGTTTTAACGGGAGGGATTAGCTTCAATTAAAACCGAATCACGTTGTGCTGTTTTGGCCTATAACATTCTCCCCATTCCCTAATAATCCCACTCGGCAGGCCGTGTACACAAACAAGTTCAGCGCGCGTAGGAGCCAGACATTTACTCTTTGCAAACTACAGTGTGACAACATTTAACTTTCAAATGTTTGATTTCTGCTCCACTGCTGCTTGAACTTGTTTGTTAACACACACACACACACACACACACACGCATAGAGAGCGAGATGAAAACGACGGCAGAGAATAGCTCGGTAATCGTGTTGATGCGTCTAAACGAAATCCATGATTAGTGTTGAGAGTTTGTGTATGCCACCTTAAACCGACAAATATGGTGTTTGTTGTGGTCATAAGGAAAAGGAGCTTAACAGATATAAATATATTTCCTGACCTCAAATCGGACTCTATTTGAGCCAGTACACGACAGCTTTAAAAAAGAAAGCAGTGAATGACAGCATATGCGAATGACAGCTATATACTATACCTACATACAAACAGAGAGACATTTTATCAATTAGTCACATGTTCCCTCTCCCTCCCACGTGCGCGCCCAGCTCGAGTTGGCATCCTCATCATTCACCTCATCATCATTATCAAATACATTTCACGCCATTCAAACAGTCAATTCGAAATATCAAGAAAAAAGCTTACTTTCAACTAATGACAATCTTCATTTAACACATTATTTGCGTGTTTTCATTCTTATTTGTGCCAAAAATAATGAATAAATAATGTCAAATTAATTAAACATTACTATTTAAACAAATTTTCAAACATTATGATTGAAATGAGAGATGAATAAAATGTACTTTTAACACTAGATTCTAAGATTATTTACTGTCTGGTTATTGCAATTGTAAAAAAAAATTAAACAAAAAAAAAATGAACAGCTATTCATGTTCATGTGAGACTATTCACAAGCATATGTGTGTAATTTGTTAAAAATCGTAAAATATACATCATAATTAAGTACGAGCAACTGAAAAAATCTCGTGTGACGAAGCGACATCAAAATTGAGACTGAAATCGCTCTGGTTGAGCAACAAACGAGAACGAACAAGCAGAATATTTCGAATATTTCAATTGTGTTTATAGGTGCACCTGTCTGAAGTGTTTTTTTTTCTTCTGAAGAATCAACCTACAGATCAAATCGTATGAAATTTATCATAATCCGACAATAAATTTTACTGTTCGATAATTTGTTCGTCCCACAGCGATAGCAGCCAAAAATAAAAAATAAAAATCTGAAAAGAATGTTGAAAAGGTCAGAAAAACACGCAAAAGTGGGAAAACACAAAAACACCCATCTCCGATGTGAAGATATCCATGAGTATTTCGTTGAATATAAAACAAAGCAAAGGAAACTTGAGCATTTCATTATTGTCTGTTCGAATTTGCTAATCAAATTTTCCCGAAAAAAATTGGATTTGGTTCAATATTGTACCAATAATAGATAGATATGAAGAAAGAATAGAGGTTAATGAAGTTAAATGATCGTTTTCATCGATGAAATACCATCTTCTCGCGCCTGAAAACCATTCTAATCAAAACTATTCCAAAGTATTTAATTAAATTCCATTCAATAGTATCTAATATTCAGTGTGTGATTAAACGGTGAAATAAATAAAAATAATAAAGTCACTTTTGAAATGTGTGGCGCGTAAAAACATGTTCAAAACTGAAATCATCGGTAATCAATCAAACCGTATTTTCCGGTTCATTTCGTGTTTGTTGAAGAAAAATTTCACTTTTCGAATTAAAGTTGATGGAAACTTTGTTTTGTTCAACATCTTCTTCGTAATCTTCAAACAAATCCGTTTATCGCTGTAATGTACTTGCTCGTGGTACATCAAACTTTCTGAGCAATTGCTTTTATCAACATCAAACAATTGCTTATAGCTTACAAAACGATCAAATCTCAACGATTCGTTTTCAACGATTCCATCTCATTGATTCGTTAATGTTTCTTGCATCAGCTGAGTTGAATTCAGTCAACAGTTTGAGCTGCTTTGTTACACACCAAAAAAATATGGAAAAAAGAACAACTATTTGCAGAATTAGTATGACAATAATGTATTATAACAAGAAAAAGAAAATGACAAAAAAAACTCATCTAACATTTTTCTTAGCTATTTTGGGAAATGTTTATTATAAATTTTACAAAAATCTTGGAAGAGATCATAGAAACCAAAAGAAAAAAAAAACAATGAAAAAAGAAAACACAAAAAAAATAACTAAATAAACAACAGCAATGCATTATATGAAAACATCTACAATTATCGGTCGCATTGAGCCTTCTAAAGCGATACTCAAGCCATGTTCTTCAAATTAGTTTTTAACGCATGAAATACTTTGATTAAACGAAAATGAAAAGAAAACAAATATTGTACGATTTTACGTTGTGTTTTTTGTTCGTTCTTTCGTTTTCGCCGTGCTCAAATAAGTATTAAAAGAATGATACAAAAACAATGACAATAAATAAATTTTGTGATGTATGACATCAGCAACAGCGCTGAACGACGATGATACCGCGTTGGTGGCTGTTGTTGTTGTTATTATTGAAATGAAACTGAAACAAATAACACATGTCAATGTAATTGGAATTCCATTTTATTGTAAAACCCACAAATGACTAAGTATTTCAATTTGTTTCTTTTTTTTTCGATTGGGAAACGTTTCGCATTTTGAATCATCCCATGCAAACAAACAAAAATAAATGCACCATTTAATCGATGACAATAACAAACAAAAGGAGAATGGAAAAGGAATACACTTTTCATTAATTTAAATGTGTGAAAGGCCGGTTATTATAGAAATGATGAAAAGATACAAAGGTGAATGCAAAGTTAAACACAATTAATTGTATTGCACCGTTCAATTGGATTGCATTTGCAATACACGGTTTGCACGAAGCAGAAGCAGAAGAAGAAGAAGAATGAAACTATTCAAACAACACTGACACATCAGACAATAAATATCATTTTATAATCATTTTCAATGGGATAAATTACTTAATAATTATAATGGGTCCGACGAGTCGTGTTTTTTTTTAAATCGATATGACCGCTCGTCGTACCTGTCGTCATTTCATAGAAATAATTGTTCGGGCTCAGAAGTGAATTTAAAATGAGAAGAAGAAAAACAACAACAACAAAAACATAATAAAGCAGCTTTAATTTTTTGCATATATGATATAAACTATATTAAGCAGAATGGAGTTAAGAGAATGATGTTCACTCTTCACATTGAAAAGTATTGTAGAAATGAATGAAAGACAATGAGAAAGTGTTGGAAAATTGTGCCGTGTGCAAAATGAGAGAAAGTGAAAGAAGTGTAAAATGCACCAGATACAAATACGGTGAAAAATTGGAAGATCAAGTCATTTGAAGTGCAGCATGGGAGAACAATGACAGAAATAAGTCCCAGTGATTAGGAGCCAGCTGAATGTCAATTCAAATATGCTTTCGGCCACGGGTCTTTTCTGTCATCTCTTCTCCTCGTCTTGTCTGATTCACAAATATCAAATGATTTCATGTTCAATTTTTTCTGCTTCGTCAAGCACCAGCACATTCTGCACCGGACAAACAGTTTTATTCGAATGATAAACATATTTGTTTTTTTATGTAAACAGAATCGATGTTATAAATTTAATCATCATGTTTTTTCCCTTAAATTCGCAATTCCTGAGAATTAAATCGCCAATCGAAATGCGAGATGGATCATGAAAATGAATGAAGGTGGCATTCAAGATGATTCGAACAAGTGAATAAAACTGGAGCTAAAAATACGCGTCTAGGCTAATTTTGCCTGGCTAAGGGTCAATTGACTTTCGCATGTATCTTTGAAAAAAAAGGAAATATAAACATACAATGAACCTGAAGAAAAATAAAAGAGACGTATGGAAAAGTAAGAATAAAAGCTGCTTCTCATATTTCAGACAGACGAAAGAAAATGAAAATCGAATTAACTTTCAAGTAATTGCGAATGATATCCACGCCTCTCACATGATGATTACATTTCAACTTAGCGATTTGGTCGGTTCCAAAGATTGAGAGATAGAGAATGAGAGAAAATAAAACCAGTCCATATCAAAATGATCCCCACATTATATCTAGCAACAATATCAAATGAACAAAGATATCAACTATATTTCTTATTTCGACATTGTGACCCCATACAATTTTGATTTCGATGTGTTAATAAAAACCAAACACATGACAATTATTTTCGGAATTAAACATATGAAAATTACCCTCCGATCAAAATCAATTCACAATCAACGGCACACATAAATGGGTGTCGTACATGATTGTGTATCACGTATCACATCTGAAAACATATTTTTTATCCAAAGGAAACACAAACAACCTAAATTGAACAACTCGAATTGAATCGTGTAAAAATATATCAATTATTCCAAATGAAACCAAAATGAAAAAAAAAAACAGCAAATCAGTTTTAACAATGCGAGCCAGCATTTTTCACATATACACACAAAGTCACCCAATCAAGCGAATGGAATTTGTTGTGACAATAACGATGAACCACAGCCCCTGATTTACAAAAGACTCGAGATAAGGAAATGGATTATTTAAAAATAAATGACAAATAAAATAGAGACAATAAAAAGAACACAAACAACAAGAGTGAAATAAATGGACAAAAGATTGACGAATAACATGCTTTAATTAATATAAACAAGTAACTTAATATGTAATAAGACTATTTAAAACAAAACACATGAATTATATGTAAAGCGTAGAATGTGAGTAAAATCTAATAAAGATGAAAAAACACAAAAAAATATCGTACGCGTTTTATTTATTGTGAGAAAAAAAAACTCTCTCACACCGAAAAATGTATTAGCTTGCAGATATGGACCGGTCGGTTCGTTGACTTATAACTCACAAAGATTGGCCCTTTCGATGTTTACTTCAACTCAAAATCTACACTCATTTAATACGCTTTTCGACTTTCCATAATCTTTTTTTGGAGGATTTGCTTGCATTTTTTCATTGTGCTAACAAGTTTGGGTCTATTTTTATATGGAAAACAAATGCATCAAGTCGGGGAAAAAAATTGCGTTTGTTTACTTGAAACATGTGTAAACAAAGCATTTGCCCGAGCCCAAGCCGCTAAAATTGCACGGAATCGAGATTTATTTGGATTTTTCATGAAATCTTCTTATGATAATTCTGATGAAATCCTCCCACAATTCCGTTTAAATCGTCTGCTGACGACAATGGACGTGATTCATCATCAGCACCGAACCCACTCAATGTTTTCATTGAATTGACATCACACATGAACAATGTTGCAACAGAAATGTGAAATAATCAAAACGTTGATTTTATTCTCCATTCCAATGTAACTTTCCAATGTATTCCATCATAAATACAACGTGATTGCCGATTTAAGACTAAACAACAATTAAATATTTTGCATTTCTTTCCCTTCTTGCAGCTACTTTTTTTCATAAATCTTTGTGAAACATCTATTCAAAAAGAACAGTCGTTGTTTCTCATCCACTTTTAAATATGAACGCCACACGTCACTCTGGCGGCATTTTTGAGCGGCAAATGGCAGGGTTGTCCTCCGTTACGCACTCACACAGTCTGAATTGCGTTGCAAGTATGAAACGTCATTGTGACCGTATTTGCGGCAGTGTGTTTGAGTGTGTGAAAGTGTCATCGAACAAACAACATCGTCGTTGTTGCTAGTGAGCACTGTGATATCTTTGCGTATTACACGACTACAACCGTAGAAAGAAAGAAAAAACGAAACGAAACGAAAAGAGAACCGTCATGTTGTGTCAATGTATTTTCCCTTGATGTGAACGAGAGACGAGCGAATAGAAAAAAAATAACGTCGACAGAATAAGACAGCGACATGCATACAGTGACAGTTCGACAGCATTAAGGCGCAAATAAGAGCAAACGTCTACATTGCATAGAGAAAAACGCCAAGTTGAATTTTAGTTTTTTTTTTGTTTGTTCAACTTTCCGTACCAAAGAAGAAAAAACCTATTTTATTTTTCATTTTATTCTCTAATTTCGCGCATCCACGAAAAACAAAAACCGTCGACTTTGTGAACCAAAATATACGATCGTGAATATGCCCGAAAAGGCACAATGCATACTATTTAAAAGGAAATGGCGATATTTGCATCATCAGCGATCAAATGACAACAACAATAAGAACGAAACAATAACACAAAAATCCGTAAGCCAAACAGATTTCAACGCCTATAAATCATAGTAAATAACGCGAGACACAGTGAAAAAACACATACACACACACACACGCAATAAATGCACTGATTTTGATAAGCTGCAAGTGTGTAAACGACAAGGAATTATTAGCGGGCATCGATAGTAAATATACATTTTGAACCTGTAAACGGAATACAAAACAAGAACGCAACACACAAAGAATAAAAGCCAAAACAAAAAGGAAACAAACAAACGCAATTGAGATAAAGTGACAGTTTCGAGTGTGTGTATTTTGGATGTGCCATTGTTTGTGGAATAAATAAAGAAATTACGGACATCGATCGACCAGGCGGGAAAAAGTAGACGAACAAAATCAACGGCATACTAAGCCACAAAAGGAGGGACAAAGGAGATACGAAGCACATTTTTCTACTAGACGAATAAGACACACTGTTTTCGTTGTGAAGCATCCATAATAAATATTATTTATCGTAGTTTGGAAAATGGAAGTTGTTTCAAATCGCGTTAAAGAGAATCATACGATTTCGGCGGATACGTTGGACGATTTGGCCAGTCGATTCATCATCAACATACCGGATAATGATCGTTCGAACTTCGTACGAATATGCTTTCAAATTGAATTGGCTCATTGGTTTTATTTGGACTTTTACTGTACGGGCGAAGAGAATCATGCACTTGTGCCGTGTGGCATCAAACAGTTTGCTAGCCATATATTTAACGTAAGTAACAAATATTCGGATGCTGGGTTATAATATGTTCATCTTTTCATAGATTTTCCATATTGCTCACATTTCATTCGGAATACAAAAATTGATTTCTTCGTGCCATAATGCCACTGGCATTACGATGGAAGTAAAAAGAAAAGGATATTCTCGTTTGAATTGAAATTTTATTCTCTCAAACTCTTGCGACGAAGGATACACCAAATGAATGACCCCAATTTGGGAACTTGAAGAAAGAAAAAATTTGATTTTTGTGAGAAAAAAAGAAGAAGAAAGAAACGATTTGTTCTCACTATGAATCACATTTCCATTGAAGATTCCTACGTTAAATGCTTCACAATGAATTAATCTGATCAATGTTTTTTCGTTTCATTTTGCAGCACATTCCATTTTTGTCGTTGCATGTTAAAAGTTTGGACAATATTTTACAAGAATGGAAGCAGTACAAAATGTCGGTGCCAACGTATGGTGCAATTCTGATGACATCCGATTTAAAGCATGTTCTGTTGGTGCAATCGTATTGGGCGAAAAGTTCGTGGGGATTTCCAAAAGGCAAGGTCAATGAAAACGAAGACCCGTTACACTGTGCGATACGAGAGGTAGGCGTCTCCGATTCAATTCGAATAAATTTTCAATTCTCATTTGAAATCGATTGGAAATTTTCAAAATTTAATAAATTCCTCAATTTTCCATTCTTTCGACTCGTACATAGGTATACGAGGAGACTGGTTACGATATAGCTAGTTTAGCGAAACCGGATGAATTTATTGAAGGTGTGCTCAATTATCAATATACACGCTTATATTTGATTCGTGATGTACCGATCGAAACGGTATTTGTGCCACGCACTCGCAAAGAAATTAAGTGCTGTGAATGGTTTTCAATTGAGCATCTGCCAACGCATAAAACGGATCCAGTGTCGCGCAATCATCTCGGCATCAATGCCAATTCATTTTTCATGATAATGCCGTTTGTGAAACGCCTTAAAAAATGGATAAACGAACAATCGCACGGTAATCAAATGAGCAAAAAATCAAAAGGCAACGACAGTAAGCATATGATGACGGCGGGTGTGATCGATAGTATTGCGGCAACAACGGTCGCAATCGCAACCACACTGAACGAACGAAACGATGCCAAATCACCGAATACGGTATTCTTCAAGAATAATGCGGGCCATCGACGTCAGCGGCACAAGTCAATGGGCGATTTTGACAGTACAAATGTTGTAACGCACGATTCGACCGGCGACACACAGCATGCAAAGCAGGCAAATTCGGGTGGCAACAAATCAAATGGCATCGGCAGCGGCGTTGCCGATACGAATGGTGTGGGAAAACCGATTGGTGGCAAACGAAAACTGTTTGCCGTCGATCAAGCATCGACCAAACGATCGTCGTCACCATACGCAAGCAACTTTCAATTACAACCGGTGCAACAGTTCAATGCAAAGGGCATCAACAACGCCAAATCCACAACGCCGCAATACATTTTACTGAAACCGGACGTCTATCGGAAATTGAAAAATGGCAAACAACGAAGTGGATTTGATCAGAATGGCGATGACATGGAACATCAATCGGAAAATGAATGTCAGTCGAGCGGTGGCGGTGGTGGACAGCAGAAGCAACAAAAATGGTTATTTAATCCGCCAAAATTGTCGCAATTACTCAGCAAGGAGCCGAATATTGCCAATTGGTCGAATGTACGACTTAACAAAGACGTTATCATGCATGAATCGCTCAAATTCTCCGGCAAATTGACCCATTCGAAATGAGCCATAGCAAATGTCATTTTACATACAAACAAAATCAATCAATCAATCAACGGTTTCCGGCTACTAAATGAATTATCATCTGGTTTTCCCATGCAAAATCCCTTGCATCTTCAGTCCCGTCGTTGTCAAGCAACAGCACACCAAATGTTTTGAACTCTTGTGATGAATTGTGTTCAATAAGAAATTCCCATACGTATTTAGTCGATTGTCTTCGTAATCGATCACCTAGCGCTCGTTTGATGTCGTTCAAAGCAAAACCCAAATTCGTTTTTTTTTCGTCGAACTGCCACGTAGTGGAAATACTTTTTCACCTAAAACACATACACACACGATGCGACAACAAACTTTAACCATATTTGGTAAAACAACATAACATTTCGATTACAACAAAGAATCACACAATTTCATTGCGACGACAACAACAACCGCAAATCTTCGTATTCGTCCGATCCGGACCAATAAAGAGCAAACAAATATGTAATTTGACTTGCAACAATTCAATTTTTTTTCCAAATGCGACAATTAAAAATACGAATATTGTTAAATACAATTCAATGAAAGCTTTAAAACTACTATTTTTTCTCGAATTGTAACAAAATTCACATTAATAAAGAAAAAAAATGGAAACAAACAAACAGAACGTGACGAGAAAAATTTTTTTAATAAAAAGAAAACCAGATATTTTTTATTACAATCATATTGTGTTTCATTTTAACAGCTGAAAGTTATTCTTCACAAACAGGATTAATCAGCCTATATTCGATCGCTTTAACATGTAGAAACTTTTCACTTGCTTACAATTAGCATTCAAAATATCGAGGGTAAATCCTAGGGGCTTTTATCTCTATTCGCCAATAGAAATTTATATGCGAAATGGTTAAAATATACGGCGTATACGAGGTTATACGTATTTATATGGAACATTCGTCTGGAGTTGGAAGCCCCTAGGGTAAATCATTTGTTCCTCTGAACCGTAGAATGAATTTATTCGTCGAAATTGCCATACCTAATTTTGTATAGATAATTTGATTTGTTTTCGTTGAAGATGCATGTGTAATACACATACTGCGTATTGAGTAAGTATATTGTAACGCAGAGCGTTGCTTCTTTAAAGAGTCAAACTCTGTGGCAAACAATTAACTGATGATGAACGAACCACTGCCAAATGCAATACTTTTTTATCGTCTAATTCATTATTACTTTTCGTTTGATTTGCAAATGCGAAATGATGTATCAGAATGAAGTTGAAATGATTTCGTAAGCTGTAGTAGTTTCAAGAATCCATCTATGCCTCGATTTCTTCGACTCTGAGGAGGAAAGTTTTTAAACTATCAATATGCTCTGTTCGAGTTTTGACACATGAAATAAAAATTACATTTTAAGATTGCGTTTCACGATCACGATTGATCAGAGCGAAGTTGTGATAGTGTTGGTTTTCAGTTGATATTGGTATGGGATCGAACTCAAATCTGAGGTGATTTTAAACACGTTCACGTTCTTCGATTTCCTCGTAAATGTGATCTTCTGGATTGACTTCTCTTCTGGCTCTGGTTTTCTGTTATGTGGGCAATTTGTCATGTTCTTCATCACGGTCATTTTCAGAGAAATTCTAATTGTTGTCATTCTACATTGTACGTTATATTATGACCGTAATAGCATGATTGCCTACAGAATGTGATATTTTTTAATGACGAATTTCATATACTTGGTAGATGTTGATATTTCTTATCTACTTTCAGGCAGCATACCAAATTTTCCATTGCATCATTTTGTTACTTGTAAACAAAATTTAAACTGCGAGGGCAGATTTTTCAATTATCATTCAAAAAGTCCGAAGCTATCTATGTTTACTCATTTTTGAAGCCACTGATTATGCATGTGTTTCTTTTGCTTTAAATAACCTTTAAATTTTCGTTAATGAACTGTTACAAAGAAAGAAATTCAATCCGATATGATTTTCAGATGTACTTACATTTGCATTTAATTTAGTTTATTTAGATAGCAACTAGTTTTGGAAATGCACGTTAAGTGGCGTTTGAACAACAACGTAATGCCATTTTTTCCCTGTTAATAAAAAAAACTCCAATAATCTTCATATATTCGGCGAATGTCCCGTTTTTTTATTTCATTAAAGTAGAGTGAAACTGGATACTGGAGATTTTGCATTGACGTTTCCGACTGTAAACATGACAACAATTCATATGCGTGTGCTGTCAAAGTCACTTTGTCATGCGTCATTCACATTAATGCTTTGACTGATTTTGATGAACAGTGGAGAGATTGGAAACGCCATACATTTTATATATATTATTTGTTTGGGAATTATATTAATTCATTTTCTTTTATTGTTGATATTCGGGCTCTGCAAAGCCTAGGCTTCATCCACGATTTGTTTTTTAAAGAAATATTTCGAAAAATCGTGAGTTTGCACTGTCAACACTTGTGTGGTTTTTCATATGATTTTGAAGTCATCGAATATTGCCACCCGTTCACACATTCAATGAACTTGCTACACCAAGTGATAGTTTAGTTCATTGCTGACGTTTTCCAATCCGCCATACGTTTTTATATGTGTGTGTACATCAAAATGTCAAAGTTGTCAAGAATGCAACCGTTCTCCTCGTTCTTTGTGCTTTAAATAAACATTTATTTATCTTTCGATCCATTTTTTTCAATTCATTTGAATTAATTTGTACGCGATTGTATTGAAATTCGGTTTTTGTTTTAAACAATCTTGATGTTGCTCTTAGATTAGGATGAATATGGCTCGTGTTGTATGTGTAGCTCTAGCTCTACATCGTTCAAATCAAGGAGTTATTATGCATTCGTCCTTACTTGCAGTATTCACGAATTTGCAATGCTGGCATACAAAACCAAGGCCCCATTTCACGAACACTGAGATCATGAGAAATTCTCACTTTTTTATAATGTACGGCTAAGTCGCTTCGCGACAATAAGATATTCAAATCAATTGAATATCACATTATTCAAATTTAATTTCATCAGTCAAAGAAATTTCACAATAATGTTTTACTTTGTTGTACATTTTCATAAACTCCATCCTACAAATGCATAAATTTTTCCATTTTAACAATATGTTCTGTGTGATTTATTACGAAATTTGAACGCTTCGCATTCAATTTACCCGTGACTCCAAAAATTATTAGGATTTGTTTGATATGTATCGGAATTTCATTATTTCAAAAATGCTCCAATTCACATAGAAGTTTTTCGAGTCCCTAACTTTTTTATATGTATGTATTATATATTATAAGATTTTCATATTAAATTGGCTATCATAACCAGCCAACCAAACGAGATAGATGGTCAGCTACGGCTGACGCTCGTTATCCAGATAATTTGCGTGCGGTGAACGCATATAGAACGCTCCGCTGCCGCCGAGCGATCAATCGTACTTTGAAAGGTGGTATCCAAATGTTCAATCAATGAAAAAGAGACAAATCCATATATAATGTTTGGATACCACCTTCCAAAATACAATTGATCGCTCGGAATAATTCCGCATTATTTTTGCGGATTGTGTTCCAGACGTTAATATTCATACAAAGCAAACAACAGCAAGTGAGCGGAGAATTCACACGAAAGAATAGGCAAAGAGAAAGATCGCAAACAGTATCCTACCGCGTGAATTATGAATGCAGCAGAAAGAGAACACAGTAGTATCCGTTTTTGCACGCTGTCAATGGTATCGACGAACGTAAACAAAAACGGATTTTTTCCTTCGTTTAAAACTCAATACTGAGATGAATTACTTGAGACTTAAGAAATTAAGAAAAGTGTTTTCTGTGTGATACATATATTTTATATGGGAGACTTAAAAATTAAGACTTTTTTTTTCTTATTCCCTATACAAGAAAATATTTTTCTTAACCCTTCGTTTGGCACATGTTCCAATAACCTTCCGTTTGGCACATGTGGTCTGGCCAGACCCTCGAACTTATAAAAGATTCTAAACGTACTGATAAGATATAATGAATTATCTATGAAGCGAAGTTGTAATATTCAACCAGCAGTACAAGTTTAACCTAGACACCAATCTGTTATCTCTTATCAGTTACGCTAAATTCGCGAAAAACCGCGAAAAATCGCGAGTTTTATCTTATCATATTCCGTGAAACTGATAAGAGATAAGAGGTTACTGTATTCAGCAAATTGTAGAGCAGGTCAAATAATAGAACTTTTCCGAAGGCGCCAATTCATTATCTCTCATCAGCCACGCTAAATACGCGGAAAACCGCGAAAGACGCGAAATTTTATCCTTATCGTTTTTTGAGGCACTGATAACAGATAACGAATTGGTGTCTTCGAGAAAATTGTGAAAGAACATCCAAGACAGTTCCCCAGTCGAAAAATATCCCGAAAGAGGTGCTGCATGTCAATAACAATGTGTAATCCACCCATCGAACACAAACACATATACAAATGCATCCTCACTCATTCCTACAATCGTGACGAATTGTGTGCTATGACTGAATGCTGTCACATCGCCGCTATTGCGATTGAATGTTTCTCAACAAATCAAAACATGTACGGCACCCGTTTATATGAATGAATACACGGACAACGATTCGCCACTCATTGCTACAGCTGACCGAATGCATCTTATGGTGTATGCGGTAGCTGAGTGTTGTTTGTAAACAAAATACCGTTATGTTCGATACACAAAATGATGCGCGTTGCTTTTCAATAGATTTCAATATTTCATTTATCCATTGTCAATCGACAAGTGATGATGCACAAACGCAATAAATAAAATCACTCCAAATGGATTCGAACGACATTTTTAATCGAATAAATATGTTTTGGCTACATAAATACAGTTAATGATTTTTTTCTAACGTATTATGAGCTCGCACTCTCAAGCGACAGTAGAATTTGAAAAAAAATATTCGCAACATCGAAATACAGTGTGTATCGAAACAAACACTCCAGCGGAACATGCTATGAAGCATTTATGTATGTAGATTTCTTTTGCTACACACTGTTCTTCGCTGTTGCGTGCGCATGCGCGGATCCCGAATACTAATACATGCACGCCTGCGAGAAACCAATCTCATACATGTTGGTGCGTGATACACTTTGGTGTAATGAACAACACAAGGTCTGTGTGTTTGTGGATGTCTGTTTACTAAAATGAAACACCAATTGGAGCACTATAGCGACATCTGACAAGATATTTCCCACTGGGAAGAAATGAGTCGATTTTTAGGTGAAGTTTTTTGATCTGCCCTATAATTTTGCTGAAGACAGTAATCTCGTATCTCTTATCAGTTTGACGGAAAATAATAAGGTAAAACTCGCGTTTTTTCACGATTTTCCGCGGTTTTCTGTGATTTTAGCGTAACTGATAAGTGATAACAAATTGTTGTCTTGGGCAAAGTTGTAATGCTGGCTAAATAAAACAATTTCTCTCCATACACTAATTCATTATATGTGATCAGTACGTGTAAAATCTGTTATCAATACATAGGGGTCTGGCCAGACCACATGTACCAAACCGAAGTATATTCGTTTTGATGTCCTTATATTTATCCTTCTATGACACGGATCCTTAATTTTTTTTTTCCAAAATGTGTAAAAAGAATATCCAGGAAAAGTCAAGAAGTTTGAAGGCTCCAGCTCAATCCGAACAATGCTAAAATTAAAAACCAAAACGAAAAAGGTCTGGCCAGA